AGGGCAGATGTCATAGTGATTCTGTTTAAGTTGCTTTCTCTCTATCTACAAACCTGAAAACTGCACTAAGCAGCAGAAGGAATATTTTCACATGCTCTACTGTGGGGCTATGAAAGACCTGCTCAGAGGATTTTTATCCATGAATCAGTAAAGCAAGTATATGGATCATTTGGGTACTAAAGCAAAGAGTCAAAGACCCTTTTAACGTGATGTTTAAAATACAGTCCACTCATTATGAAACTGCACTTTTGCACTACAAAAGGCACAAAAAAAAATTTCACAAAATCAAAAAGCCCCAAATACCTTGTATGCAGGCAGGTAGGGAGAGGTGGGAAGAACAGAGGAATAAAGTAAAGCAACAGCACTCTTTTTATTACTTTTGGAGAAAGGTAAACCTGAATAGCTACCTTCCGGCAAAACTTACTTTACAGCACCACATTTTAATGTGGTACCTAGCTGTGGTTTGTAGCCTAACTAACATAAAGTTGCAATAACTCCCAGTGTTGAATAAAGACGAGCCCTCCTTTTGTCAGACTTAAGCAAACTGATAGCCTGGAAAAATTTGACCTAATTAATTATTTGACTCCTGAGACAGTACTGAGAGTTCCTGTAATAAACCCCTTAAAATTAATTGTTTCACAAAACAAAGCCTTACAAGTGGGGAAAAAGCACTCTGCTTCTTAACTTTCCACTCACTTACCTCTGTGAAACTGAAGAAGAGTCCTATACCTCCAACAAATCTCAGCACCATCCCAGAATATTCTTCTATTATTGGTGCACATGGTTGACACTGGCGACTTCTAAAACAATCCTGTAGCAGATACAAACAGAGAATTGTGCTCCATTTTCCGATGACGCTGCACTGACTGAAAGCATCTAGTTAGCTCTATAAAAGACTGCCAGCCACGGACAAAACTACAGCAGTTTTAAAAGACTCCAAAAAAGCAAGGATATAAAAGACAATGGAGTACAATCTTTGCAGGGTGCTCTGTGATTATGTTTCCAATAAGTTAACAAAAGAGCTTAGTATCATTGTAACAACTACCTTACACACCTGTCAAAAAAGCTCTTTTCTGCAACTATGAAAACAGTTACGCATTTTTTAACAAATACCATGAAAGTTATGTGTTTTCACACTTTAAGAACTTACAGAGGAGCAGGTTTCATTCAGATCAAAAACTCTAAATCCACAACAATTCAGATTTCTCTCAATATCTGTTCTTGCGCTGTTGGTGTTATTCCATCCCACCTCTAGAAGTTGACTCTAGAAGGCATAAGCAAATACATATTATGTAAGTTGAACTCTTTTGCATTTCATTGGAAACCACTATTCTATACCAAATTGATAACTTCCTAATCAAAACCTTCAGATCCTTAAGTCTAACAAACAGGATCATATACTAAAGAATGACTTGAATGTTCAAACAGCCTGGGTAGCTAATGAAACAGCAGCACGTTCATGGTTTTAATTCATTTTCTTTCTTTCTTTTTCCTAAACCCAGCAAGAGCACCAGTAATGAGACATGCAGCTAATCTAACTGGGACTTCTCAGACTTTAAACAAAAAGTGCACTTACATGTAAAAGTGATTATTTAGTCACTGCATCCTTGCCTGCTTCTTAGGTGGTTAAGAATTAGTCTCCATACCCCATAAAAGCTGATTTTACCTTCATACTTAAGGGTCACCTCTGTTCCTAATGTAGTTACGACCTTTTCAGTTACACAAGAATAATTCAGCTTTATCATCTTTGCATTATGATCACTGCAGATTTCGTCAGCTTATCTGGCATTGCTGAACACATGATATAGTCAAGATACCATGCTGCTACACTCGTGACCACAAACATAGAAAGGAAACTTAAAACCAAAACAATTATAAAAAAAAAAAAAAAGACAGCTGAAAGTCATTTCAGGACCCATATGTATTTAAGGTCTAGCCCTTAATTAAAAGGATAATGCTGACTTTCTTGCAATATGCTCTCCCCATTTTGTGGAATATTACATATAAATACATATGTGTGTGTACATAACAGATACGTTTATAGTATTATGCCAAAGACTAACTGAGAAGTCAGGAAACTTTTCTTACCTGCTGTTCCTTGTTTAGTGCCAAACAGGCACAGGAAACAGAGAACTGGACAATAAAGACTAGCAAAAGAATAATCATGTACTGGAAACAGTAGTTAAGGATATACTTTCAAATTAATTTTGCTTTTGTAACACATATGCCTAATGGTATTCTTTATTTCATTGCATAACACTAAGTCCTTTAAAACAAAAAAAGTATGGAAGTAAAGTCTGACTGGATGTGAAAAACATGACCCAAATAATGTTCCCAGAACTCAATCACCGTGTATTTTCTCTTTTTAGCTACTACTATACATAGCTAGTATTTCTGGGTTAGGTGCTTCTTGCCTAGCAAGACAACATAAGCAGAAAGGTTAATAAAGGGAGCTTTGAGAGAAAAAATCTACAGCCAATTTCTCCAGCTTTAGGGACTCATGTTGTCATTTCAAGATACTTAAAGTAATAAAGAAAATACTTTTCTGGGTACTGCATATTCAGATTTCTTTTTTTCTTCAATTATATAGTCTTGTAATTAATTACAAAAGATAACTTTAGCCTAGACAAAAAAAAAGTGAGAGTTGCTTTTGGAACACAGCCTCAAACACTTTTGGACTAATACATCTGAAAACAGTACCAAACAAGAAGAACAAACTTTGATACTAAAGACCACATTTTGAAAGCTGGGCACTTCACAATCTGGCTGCTGTGTTCAGAGGCAGATACTTATCTCACACAATTAAACTGTTTGTAAAGTGGAGGTCACTACTTATTTTTCTGGTTGTGGTCTATGAATAAGAATTTTATCTGATGAATCTCTTTTCTCATCCAAACAGATTAATTTTGTCACGCAAGGCAGCACCACAGACTCCTTACACAGCGTTAGTACGCAAAAAGGAGCAGCAAAGCACACTGAGAAGGCCTGTGCTCATTTCTAGTCTGGGTTTGCAACTAAAGAGGAGGTATGAAAAGGAAGTGCTTCTTGACAGCCAGTATTACCAACAATACATTCCCCTGCCAGTTGAAACCAGCTCGTTATCGGGAAGTATCACCTTTCTCTACCGTTAAACATGAATAGTTCACGTACTCTAGCTTGGTGTGGGGTTGAGCATGCAGTAAGAGGCACCTGTGACACAGTGACCCATCATAAAAAGCTCTCAAAATTAAAATATTTTTGTTTTTAAAAAGAGGAGACATTGAATACTTCTATCTTCAGAGCACAAGCAAGGGAGAAAAAAGGAAGCTGGAATAAAGTTAAACAGGAAGGAAGCTTAATTTAAACTGCATTTGACCAAAATAAGATTGTGAATTTCTGTTCTGTTTCTGAAGCACCTTTCACATCAGTCTCAGCTGACAGAGAAGGCTGTTTCCACAGCTTGAACCAAGCTGCAATCCATGTAATATATCAGAAGGATACAAAGAATAGCAATACTTGATGATGTTTCACTGCACCAATCAATCCAACTAAGGCAATAAGGAATAGGAAGATTCCTACGGCAATTACCACTCCAACAACTCTGAAACTAGAGATGAGGCCAAAGCCAATTCCCCATGCCGCGATTCCAATCAGCAGCAGGCTGACCAGCTGGAGGGAAGAGAACACAAAAAGTTAGTCTGCATATTAAAAGAGGCTCAACCTACAGACAGACAGCTACATTCTTTGCAAGGAACTTGTTATTAGAAAGGGAAATTTTTTCTTTCCAGTGCAAACAGAAGAAGCACAACCCTAAACAAACCAATCTTCCACTTCATCACAGAAGTAATTTCAATTCCAAATGTTTTAAGGCACACGTATTCTCCAATACAGTTAATGTGGAGCTGTTACAACTTAATCTACCTACAAGTCAAGCCACGCTGCATTATCTGTGACTGACTAGAGACACTGAACTGAAGTGTAGATTATAACAGAACTGACATATAAGCTAAAAATAATTGGCTTTAACTCACAGAATGATAGAAGAATGAAAATTACAGATGTTTTCTGAAACAAAGGCAATGTATTTAAATAAAATAGGATATATAGCTCCACAGCTGTATATATATTTACAACGTGTAAAAAAGTGCACTTTGCCAAAACTTTTGCTAATCAGGAATACAGTTGGATTAATTCAATACAGAAGCTTCTACATAGTTGATGATATAACACAACAGTTAACAAGGTCACACAAAAATACTTTTTAGATCTGCATCTCAACGACTTCATGTAGTAAAACAATAAAGGTGCCCTGTCTCTGCTACATATTTCTTCAAGAAAATAGCTCTACTATGAAGTCAATACTATTTCAATATCCAAAACACTCTTTTGCTGTTTCCTTCCTTGTAAAGATGGTATTCAGGGAGGGCAGGCAAAATCTGACCCAGTCAGTTTACTGGGATTTATTGTTTATATGGGCAGGAAACCCCAGCCCTTCCTGCTTCCATGCCAAAAAACAGAACAAAAAAAATTTCCAACATATTAAAAGCTGCAGAGAAATCTGTAATGAGGTACAGCAGGAGGGAAGCTGCAGACAAAACCAACCCAGATATCCCATACACAAGATGCCTAGCACTCATTTGAAACAGGTAAGATCTACATGCAACATATCACCCATTACATTCCCTGTTAAATAACAAATCAACATGCAAGTTTTAACTTTCCAAAAGCCTGACCTCACCAAAAAATACCCAGAAGTGTATCATTATTTTAAAAACTCAACAAAACAGAAAGTAAACGTTTGGTCTAGTTCAACTACTTGGCTTTATTTGACCACAAATACAGAGCAAGCACTTAAACTTGCTCACCAGTTTCCATTCAAACAAGACATATCTCATGGCATTTTACTGCTTATCCAGAGGGGAGGGGGAAAAAAAAAAAAGGAAAAAATTTCCAACTTATCATTTCAGTACACTTACCCCACAGCAGGGCATTTTTCTTGGTTTTAAAACCAAGTACGTCTGCCCATTTTTTCAAATTAAGTAACTTCTAGAAGACTGACCTATGTAATGCTGCTTTTGAAACACAGAAATCTAAGGTAACGAGAAAGCTAGTAAAACAAGTAGTGATGCTCATCAAGATCAAAACACAATGGGTGTTATTTTCATGTGTTCACATATGAACACATCTCACAAAACGTTTTTACCAAAAGCCAGTAATCCACATGAGAAATTAAGAGTCTGCAAGAACAAAAGGAGGATCTGTCATACCTACACCTCTGTCGTACCACATGAAGAGACAAAAGAACAATATAACATTCAAAGGAATTGTTCAATATCAGTAGAGTTTTAGGATTAATTCACATTTTCCTTTGTTTCCCTTAAACAAAAAGCCTTAATCACCATGTTTATTTAAAACCAAAACACTGGGCCAAGATGTTGTGAATCTAAATTACAGAGAGGGGGGAAGAAAAAATAAAACAAAACAAAAAGCCTTGGCTCTGCCACAGACAGATTTTCTGAATGCATGTTGCAAAAGGCTATAAACTTCCTGATGTTATTACGTTAAAAATTAGCCTTGCTAATCAGTTAAGTGCAAGACTTACCTGTTCTCATCCATGCCCATTCATTTTATTCAATTGTCTCATACCACTGGGAAGATTTATTTTTCCACGTAAGCATCAGAAATGAACAACAAAAGAAATCCCATAACCCAATTTCCAATCAGAAAGTGCTGGCTGATGTCCCATGCTCTGCATCAGCTTCTAAGCACTGAACTCACACTGCCACTACACAGCTCTTCCAACTGTTATCTCATTAAAAAAAAATAAATCTCAAAGGCAATGTCAAATTTCAATTTATTTCACAAAGAAAAGCAGAAGAAACTTTGCTCCTAATTATTTGCACCTATACTTCCTCCTTCTCTCTGAGCTATGACTGCACATCTTTATTTTCACTCATTTGCCTCCAGAATGCCAGAATGTGTATTTGTTTAGCTCTTTGTTCATTTTATAAGAGGTCTAAAACAATTAGATTAAACGAATTTTATTCTTAAAGTATCAAAATCAAAAGAAGAGACCTAAACTAAATCTGTGCCTAAAACACCTACTAGATAAATGCAGTGTGTGAGCTGTGGGGTACCAGTTACTTCTTGCTACCGTTACTCATCTCACCTTCCATTACCCCGAGGATATGAAATTATGACGCCAGGAGTTATTACCATGACCCTCTGGCCCCAAAAGCTTTTCTGGCAGAAACAGCCACTCACCGAATCTAGAACTGCTATTGTTTTCAAGTGAAAAAAAACCTCTCTTCCTTTTAAACCCGTTGTTGAAGCCCACATATTCAGGAATCATGTGATGGGCTTTGGAAAATAAAGTAACATAAAACAGTTTCTCTTCTGATCACATTCTAGTTTTAGAGCCAGTCTCACTTTCAAGCTTCACCTCCATAATACCAAGGCTGTATTTTCTCTTCTTTCACTTCACAAAGTCATCCATTGCCTAATTCCTTAAAATATCTGAAAATTCAGTATGATCATAGACCCATGCCACTGGGCTCTGGTTGGCAGCCACATGAAACTGCTGCATCCAGTCAGGCAGATACATTATTTGGATCAAAACAGTTATTGGCTACTCCAATTTTGGCTACTTAAAATCATGGAAAACTGGTTTTGTGTTTCAAAACTGTAATGGAGACTGCAAGTTTACAAACTATTCCACAAACAGATTTAGTATTAAGGTCCTGACTCCTCTGCATGTTGACTGAAAAATTAAACGAGTGTCATTCCTTCATTTTCAGGTGTGGATTGGACTATTTGGATATTGAGCAATAAAACTACATATAGTTTTATAGTACCATAATGTGAAAAATTAAAGTAAACGCACACTACTACAAACAGGAAAAAAAGCTGTTTTGGGAAGCAGTTTTACAAGTCTGTAAAACAACACAAGACTCACGGGCACTGTTTAGCCACTAGAAATGGCTACACAACAGTGTTTATTTCAGTGTTTTGAAACAAAAGGGTTTAGATGCAATATTTCTATAACTGAAGCTGCTAAGACTCTGGAGTAAAATGTACTTGAAATTATTTAGTGACTCTACTTTTAAATGAGTAATGTGTATGTTGTAAACGTACAAAGTTTTATTTACTTACCAAAAAGTCACGTATATCTGTTAAATTAAAAAGAACTCTCTACAGAGCTTCTGAATGTCACCGTTTGTTTTACTGAAACCACACTTCACAGTACCAGAACTCCTCCAAAGAAAACAGGATCACTTACATAAAGGTAGCTTTGGTTACCAACACTTCAAATATTTGCTTGATAAATCTACCCGAAATACATGAAATTACAGTCCAGTTTTTAAGTGATTTGGACTGATCCTGTTTCCCACAGTAGTCTCATTAGTAGGCTGAAAAGGGATAGGCTGGAGAAATGGTCTGTTAGGCTGAATGACAGCAGGCTGGACTGCTGAGCCCAAAGGGTAGTCATTACTGGCTCAGCATCCAGCTGGTCGCAGGTAAGGAGGACCACAAAGGCTGATACTGGGGCCAGTACAGTACAGTAACCTCATCAACAACCTGGGTGATAAGTCAGAATGAATCCTCAGAAAATTTGTGGATGAGACTAAACAAGGAAGAGTGATACTTCAAATCAAACTCCAAATAGAGAACCAACCCAGATGGACCCTGATAAACTTGAGGAATAAGCCAACAGGAACCTCATGAAGTGCAGAATTCTGCTCCTGGGGTGCTTCAGGGGAACTGGGGAGCAGATCGGTTGAATAGCCGCCTAACTGAGGCAGACCTGGGGATCACACTGGTTGCCAAGCTGAATATGAGCCAAGAGTCTCATATTCAAACAGGGAAAGCCAAGAGAAGTGCAATCAAAGGAAACTCAACACTGGTGAGCCTGCAGCTCAAATACTGTGTACTATTTCAAGCTCCCCAGGTCAAAAAGGAATTTGAGAACCTGGAGTCACCAAAATGGTCTGAAGCCTTGAGGATGGTGTTTGAGAAGCAGGCAGCGGAGCTGGGTTTGTTTAGTATGATGAAGAGACAGCCTAAGGATAATCCAATAGCAACTGAAGCTGAAGGCACATTACAAAAACAATGGAAGCAAATTCATCTCAGTACTGACCCACCACAAAATAAGAGGCAACAACCACAAGTAACACCTTTGGAGGTTCTGAGTGGACATTAGAAAACACATCTGCAAGGTGGTTTGTTGCCATATTCAGAGAGGTGATAATCTTTGTTCTCAGAGGTTTTCAAGACTCAGTAGACAAAGCCACAGCTGCAAATGAGTGTTTCAGAATCCTGCTCTGAGCAGGAGCCTGGACAGATGAGCCCCAGATGTCCCTTCCAATCAGCACTCCCACACACCACAGTCAACTCTTCCACCATGGAAGCTTTGCCATTCTCTACATCAAAAATCAAAGTTTTAACAGGCAGTTAAGGGACAGATTTAGCACTGACCAAGGACTCTTCTGTACTGTCTAGCTCATTAAACAGAGACTACCACCAGCTCCTAAAATCCCGTATCAAAAAAACATCTTACAAGCAATGTGAAGGTCTCAATAAAAGAGGAATGAATGATTCTTCAGAAGTACTTACATAGCTTCAAAAACACAAGTACTAGTCTTGTTCTCAGAAGTTATTTAAAAGGTCCCATTCA